CCACCACAACCACTCCTACCCTTTCGTTTTCGTTGCCTTCGGCCGCGAACACCATCTCAACGTCAGCTCCGGTTCAGACAATCGGCACAACAACTGGTTTCGGAGGATTAAGTCAACCCATTGTTAGCACCGGAGTATCGGCCGCACCATCCTTTGGGTTCGGCGCTCCCGGTGTAACCTCTGCTGCAGCCGCGCCATCGTTTTCATTTCCTTCGGCCACAACCACAGCCACTGTTCAGCCGATGCCTACACTGACTGCGCCGGCCGTCGCTTCCACAGCGAGCGCATTGTCTTCAGCGCCGACTTTTAACTTCACTCAATCGACACCAACGCCCACATCAACGCCCGCTTTCGGTTTGGCCACCCCTTCGACCACAACCGCTCCCACCACTACATCTGTCGCGTCATTTGGTCTTAACCTAAGCGCTCCTACAATGACGACCAGCGCTACTCTCGGAGCGACACAACCGCTAACAACTGCCGCCACAACTCTTGCTCTAAAGACCACTACATTCTCAGTACAACCGACGACTACAGTAACGACAGCGCAATCTATAGCTACAGTCACACCAAACCGTAAATTATATGCGTTTTGTTTGCAAATCATGTTTTTAATTGAATTATTTCTAGGAATGACTTTCCGTCAACTCGAGGATCAAATCAATTTATGGCTCAACGAATTGAACCAATTGGAGGCCGAGTTTCATATTCAGGCCCAGACTATCAATTCCTGGGATTCATTGCTTATCAATAATGGGCTTAAAATCACACAAANTAGGAATGACTTTCCGTCAACTCGAGGATCAAATCAATTTATGGCTCAACGAATTGAACCAATTGGAGGCCGAGTTTCATATTCAGGCCCAGACTATCAATTCCTGGGATTCATTGCTTATCAATAATGGGCTTAAAATCACACAAATCAATGAGACGTTGGAGAAGTTGAGGACAGATCACACACGACTCGACCATCAGTTGGACTTCATTATAGCCCAACAGAACGAATTGGAACAGCTCTTAGCGCCCATCGAGTCCAACAAAATGGAGTTAAGCAGTAATAACGCGGTGAACACCGAAAGAGAGTTCACATACTCTTTGGTCGAAACGGTTCACAACGATCTCAATGGCATCGGAACCGACTTAAAGGTATTCAAGAAATTATAATATTTGTTGACAACCTTTCGCTAATTTTGTATGATTTTCAGAGTTTCATTAAAAAATTGAATGAAATGCGAGCCAATCAGGACTCGAGCGACCCTTTGGGACAAATCGGCAAAATATTGAATTCACATATGGATGCGCTTCAATGGATTGAAAACCAAATTAAAAGCATTAAAATAACCACTAATTAGTACTAAATTTATTAATTAAATTAGTATTTGCTGTAAATGTTATATATTTTTGGTTTCATTTAGCATTTCAGTTCATTTGAAACATTTGATTAAATGTTATTTTATTTAATGATTAAAGTAATTAAACGATTAATTCATATGGATTTGTATTGTGTTTATTGATATCTCATTTGTTTGATAGTATCCACTAATCTATAGTATGGATAATATCTGCCTTCAGTTCTTCTGAATTGTTTGCAATGAAATCGATTGAATTCAATACGAGTTCATTGATGGCAAACGTTTGGCCAAATCTGAGCGCTTCCATCACATTGTCTTTTGACAATTGACTGAACAGAGTCTGTGCGCAGACATATCTCAAGTCTTCGATGTCGTAAAAGTCGGCCACAATTGACAACTTGTGGGCCATCTCTTCGATCTTCGGTGCACTTCCGGTGTATATAAAGTGCAACAACTGTTCGAACACTTCTTTGTCGGTGTCATAGAGAATCACTTTCGACTCTTTCTTCTCTTTCATATCGTTGGCAATCATAGCCCTGAAGACCGGCGATCGGGAGTTATATATTTTTGGTTTCATTTAGCATTTCAGTTCATTTGAAACATTTGATTAAATGTTATTTTATTTAATGATTAAAGTAATTAAACGATTAATTCATATGGATTTGTATTGTGTTTATTGATATTTCATGTGTTTGATAGTATCCACTAATCTATAGTATGGATAATATCTGCCTTTAGTTCTTCTGAATTGTTTGCAATGAAATCGATTGAATTCAATACGAGTTCATTGATAGCAAACGTTTGGCCAAATCTGAGCGCTTCCATCACATTGTCTTTTGACAGTTGACTGAACAGAGTCTGTGCGCAGACATATCTCAAGTCTTCGATATCGTAAAAGTCAGCCAAAATCGACAACTTGTGGGCCATCTCTTCGATCTTCGGTGCGCTTCCGGTGTATATAAAGTGCAACAACTGTTCGAACACTTCTTTGTCGGTGTCATAGAGAATCACTTTCGACTCTTTCTTCTCTTTCATATCGTTGGCAATCATAGCCCTGAAGACCGGCGATCGGGCGGCCAGTACTGCCTTATGGACGGCAAACTCTTGGTCGTCGACAACGACTGTGAAATCAGTGAAACATTTGTCGGACAAAAGAGATTTGAATCCATTTCTGTAACTGTTTTCGACAACTGATTGAATGTCTAAGCCTTTGCTCTGTCTCTCGTCGTTGGCCTCGATTTGGATCCAAAACTTGAGAAAGTCTTTGTCCAATAAACCCGTTTGCGAATCAAATGCACGACTCTTTTCCATAAACTTTTTCCATCCGAACAGTTGTTTCGTTTCGGTGTCCACTTCTGGCCAACACTTTTCGTTCACAATTTGTCTGCTTTTGTCAATCAAACCGACTCTGAATTTAAGAAATTTCTTCTTTGACTTTCGGCCAACTCTTGAGCCGAACACCACTTCTTTGATGCGGAACTGAACGGACAGATAGTCGACGTTATCTTTGAGCGTTTGTGTCTCTATCAGTATAGAGGTATTGAATCCGAAGGTCTGACAATTTTCGATGTGTTTTGCACTCACCTTCTGGTCAACCACTTTGACGGTCAGCTGAAAACTTGTGCCCCATTTCCTATTCAGTTCTCGTTTCTCGTAATCTATTGACATCTTTGTGGTGAACAAAACTCAAATGATTTCACGGATTAATGCTTTCAAATTTTTAATCAAATTATTTTAATTTACAACAATGTAAAATAAATTTACAATAAACATCAAAATTCTGGTAATATTCTTAAATAACAAAAATATATATAAATGTCATAATTTTTGAAAATTTTAGTCAATCTAATTGTTAGCAAAACTATAAATAATAAATATAATCATTGCATAAATAAATGGTTAATTTTAAGAAAAATAACAAAAACATAACAAAAATAATACTCTGTCTGTAATTCATAATTCAATTACTTTTTGAAACCAATGTTAACGAGTTTAACATTTCTGGGAACCTGTGCTTTGATTTGATCGTTCACTTCACAGACATCAATATCCAGACGCAAATGAAACCAAAGTTTTGGTCTAAGACTAGCCAACTGTCCAAACACTTCAATCACTCTATAAGTATCGATAAGCGTTTGGTTGGCGTCCGGACCGTTATATTTGACTAATTCTAACGTATTTAACGAATCGCTGCCAATCAAGTGCTCCAAACCGATGTCACTAATGTTTGTCATGTTTAGTGTTAACGACACAAGATTTTTATAGTTGCAAATCACCTAAAAATATAATCAAATACAAAATGTAATTAATTTTAGTGTTAAGATTGTAATTCACACCAAAATAATTAACTCATTAAATACCTGCCAAAAGTTGTTCTGAGAGTCGCTTTCAATGAAAACGGAAATCAATTGCATTTCTCGCAAAACTGGCAAATAGTCAATTGCTGCCAAAAACACAGACAACGAGAAGTTTGCGTCGAGAAGTGTTAATTTGGTGATAGTTTGGGGCAATTTAGGCAATAGTGTAATGAAATGGATATCACTGTCGCACTGAATGCCTTCCATCACAATCTCACTGACACTTGAGTTAAAATTCAAATTAATTTCCTTCAGATTCTTCACATTCTGAAGCAAACCCTTCTGTTCGCTCTCATTATTGAAGTGCAGATACAGTGTATCGATGTTTGACAGCTTTGTATTGATTTCTTTGAATAACTCTTTAAACACAAAGACATTAATATTCAAGTTTTTAATAATGGTTTTGTTGGGCTCTTCGGGAGTGAGCGCTCGGATCAATTCCAGACATTTTTCATTCGTTAACCTGTTCTGTGGTTTGAAATGAAATTTTTTCAATTTAGACCCAAATAATAGCAAATAATGGCACAGAATATCCAAATTAACGGTATTAATGAGCGCTCTCTTAATGATCAAGTCTTCAATTTGAGGCACAGTTTCACTCAAATCGGTCTCAAAGGGACTCTCGTGGACACCATATATAGGGGTTCGTGTCGTCAACGCTAGGCTAAAGTGTTTGAGACCTAAAACAGTGCATTAAAACACAATTACTATAGAAAATCAACGCCAAAATGACAACAAACCGGCAATTTTGGGATTTAAAAACTTAGTCCAACTGATCTCATCTGACGTGACGTATAGACACTGAAGTCGTGGGCAATTGGCGATGAGTTGGTCCACGTCTGACGCGTTCAACGAGTACTGACTCGCGTCTAAAGACTGAACGTTTGGACAATAGTCGGCCAGAAATCTAAACAAATCCTTTTGAATCACTTTGAATGACAGCGTCTCGAAGAGTGAGAGGAATGTCTGCTTATTGTTCATCAGTCGACCCACCGATGAATTGACGGCCAAATGGCGCTCATTATCACACCTTTCGCTCAATTCTGGACACAATTAGCAAATTAGACAATCAATAAATGGATCAAATGAATGGCAAGATTGAAAAATACCTTCACTGGTGTAGTGATTGATGTCATTGAAACCAATGGACAGTGACTTCTGTGAGGACAAGATATCAGCGATGGTTTGGTGCCATTTGGTGGTCACATCCAGACAGTCATATAACTCACTGACACTCAGATGTCTTAAAATAAGTCTCATTTCGTCGTACTTCAGGACATCCATCGGTGGTATGGTTTGTGACATTGTCTTCAGTATTGCTTTTTGAAACTCAAATAGCAATCAATTGACAGATCGTGTCATCAGTTTTGCCATCAATTGATTGCAAAACCAATTAATCACTCAATAAATTGAATGCAAATATTTTTTTGTGACATTTTTTGGACATTAATTTTGAAAACCAGTTATCGATTGAAAAGTGAATTAATTTTCAAAATCAATGCAATTATTATAATATTTGACATTAAAGTGAAGACAACATGTATTTCAATGTTTACATACTTTTGCATTGCGTTTGCATTTCGTTCACAAACTATGTCTCAATTCATTGCAATAATTATCAGAATATTCTTTAATTCTTGTTTTACTTTTAATTCATATGTTTTTTCATTGGTTTTCTATTCATTTGAATTAATTTATATCACATTTAATAATTGTTAGAAACTTATACCTAGTTTTTATATCCAATTAATTCATTGCATTTTATAGTTTATTAATAAAGTTTTAATAAAGTTTTAGTTAATACTATTTATTCAGTATTTTTTTTTGTATAAAAATTGTATTAAATTAAACGTGAATTACACGAAAGTCTAACAATATATTGTTATTTAAGCAAATTATTGTGTTTTTAATGTAAATTATAATGAGATGTACAAAAGATTGTAGTTTTTGTCCATTTATTCAATTAATTAATGGATGATAAGTTGTGTTCCCATTAAAATACTGGATAATAAGCTGTTTTGTCAATAATAGGGAAACAAACGGAAAGCATATCAGTTGGATATCATTTACGTAATCATTAGAGTTTGTCCCAAACAATAGTAAAATATACGATAAATTAAATTTAATTCA